AGTTGTTTGACATCTATGCACGGTTACTAAACTAGTAACTGTGATCTATAAAAACCAGAAAATTTTTAGTAGTCCGAATTTTTGCACGGTCGAAAATAAAGCGGAAATTGATCGGCCAAAAGCGGAAGCGGTCGAGAGGTTTGGGGGAAATGAGTACAGTACTTCTTTGTTTGATGAAGTGATGCTGATGCCACATTGTCGCCATAATGAGGCCACAATGAAGTGAAGCGATAATCGCCTAACTTTTTAATGTCGCGACATTGATGCGACGATGAAGCCATAACAATGCCATAACGATGCGATGCTGAAGCGAAGCTGACGCTGAAGTGAAGCCAAAGCTTCCGCGAGAACTGTACTGTAGCTGGCAGTGTTGCTGTCGAAAATAATACTGATAGTTTACATTCTATACACAGAGTGAGTCTGAACTCTCTAGACAGTGGTACAAGTGGTCAGTCCACACAAAACTTAGGTAAGTGTAAGAAAAGATACCTGCAAAGAATTCTGTAGATAATTGTATACAAATAATTGGCTCAAATTTATTAATAATAATTAAAAAAAATGTCTTGTAATATTATTACCATACTCGTCTAAAAATTATGGGTGGGTGCTTTGCTGAACATGGGCGCAAAATCATACGAGTATGGTAATTAAATGCATGATAAAAAGAATTTTGCTTCTAGTATGCCTGTATGTCTGATTCAATCCAAGTGCAGTTATAGAGACTCTGGTCACTTTCAATATACTGTAATCATTGGCCAATCAGTGTAATTTTCCTACTACACTTTTTTTGTATTGAATTACACTTATTGGACTCCTGGTATTGGTAATTACCGAAACAAATCATTACAAATCTTGTATGATCAGCAACCAATCAGAACTTGTGTTACTGACTGCTCTCTAATAAGATGCATGCTCTAATAGGTTGTCACATGTTGTCATGGCTGTTGAATGCCATGTGCATTCATTTTAGAATTCAAACAATGTACACTGGTGACCAGAAAATGACCAAATTCTCTACAGACATCAGATTTTAATGATGTTAGGCATTAGCCTATTTGCACTTGTATCATGCATATTGCTTTCAACGCTCTGACACACTGTGTGATATATTGATTCAACACTCTGATACATTGTGTGATATCTTGATTCAATTCTCTGACACATGGTGTGATATCTTGATTCAACACTCTGACACATTGTGCGATATCTTGATTCAACCCTCTGACACATTGTGTGATATCTTGATTCAACGCTATGACACATTGCGTTATATCTTGATTCAACACTCTGACACATTGTATAATATCTTGATTCAACACTCTGACTTATTGTGTGATATCTTGATTCAACGCTATGACACATTGTGTGATATCTTGATTCAACACTCTGACACATTGTGTAATATCTTGATTCAACACTCTGACACATTGTGTAATATCTTGATTCAACACTCTGACACATTGTGTAATATCTTGATTCAACACTCTGACACATTGTGTGATATCTTTATTCAACCCTCTGATACATTGTGTGATATCTTGATTCAACACTCTGACACATTGTGTGATATCTTGATTCAATTCTCTGACACATTGTGTGATATCTTAATTCAACACTATGACACATTGTGTGATATCTTGATTCAATTCTCTGACACATTGTGTGATATCTTGATTCAACACTCTGACACATTGTGTGATATCTTGATTCAATTCTCTGACACATTGTGTAATATCTTGATTCAACACTGACACATTGTATGATATCTTGATTCAACACTCTGACACATTGTGTAATATCTTGATTCAACACGGACACATTGTGTGATATCTTGATTCAACGCTCTGACACATTGTGTGATATCTTGATTCAACACTCTGACACATTGTGTGATATCTTGATTCAACACTCTGACACATTGTGTGATATCTTGATTCAATGCTCTGACACATTGTGTGATATCTTGATTCAATTCTCTGACACATTGTGTAATATCTTGATTCAACACTCTGACACATTATGTAATATCTTGATTCAACGCTCTGACACATTGTGTGATATCTTGATTCAACACTCTGACACATTGTGTGATATCTTGAGTACCAAGTATTAGTTTCAATGTCTTGTTCTTCAGTTAAACACTCCATAGCCAACAATGCAAAAACATGGAAGCAGGGCTATTTAATACATACATACACATGTAGCTCAACTACACAAAATGTTCAAAAATTTAAAATATTCGGTTTGTCTAGTTTTTAAAATCAAATCTCCATAATGAAACAATTGTTAATTACACTGGGTTTGACAGCATTAGAAAAGCTGACTACTCACTCAAAGTGTATCGGTGCGCCATTTCAAAACTAGTTGCTTTTTAATTACGGATGTGTACTACAGTACAGGTGCATTAATTTGCTTTGCTGAGAATTGAAAACAAGCTTCTCTTAAATGTTATCTGTTCTAAGTCTTTGCAATGAGTGTGTACATAGCATTGCTTTGCTATCGTAATAGAAATGCTACCCATCATTACAGGTAGACCACACGGTTCTGATAATGAGAACCCTACAGTCATAAAAGCCATGCATACATTAAAAGAGTTTGGTGAGTGGACGGCACAAAAAATGCATTGTAGTTTTAGTTCTAATTATGCATGGTTATGTATACAATTGGGGAATCTTTACATTTATGATCTCAGAAATGCTTGCTACAACTGCATGATCTTTTACTTGTCTTTTTTTTCATCTTTTGATAAATCTCATTTGTCCTCATACTGACAGGTAATGCGATTCACATCCATTTTTATTTCTCATTGCTTGTTGTTGAAGACTATGCATGTGCAAGTTGATTATTTAGTTAGGTGTATTGATTTGAATATGCATGATTTGTTTTCTTTTATACTGTGTATGTCTTAGTCTGACATGTAGGCGTGAGTCTACTAACGCCTGACAGGATAGTGTACATCTCATCGTATTGCAAAGAGTTTCATTGAAAATTCATTTTGGTGGTCATGGTAACACCATCAATCAAAGCTGTGTTTGCATTGTCGGCAAAAATCACTGTTTTCAACAAGATTGGGCGGAAATTTGCCAGCGCCTTATCACACATTATGTCAAAAAACAAATAAACACTTTGATGGCTGTCACTATCTGATGTTTGTGCAATTTGATTGGTACCGACAAAAAATCGTTGAGGGGAAGTGAAATAAAACATCGTCAAGTGTGTTGGGTTTGGAGCACCGCAAACTTGTCAGGCTATGAATGTCTTTGTGTTTAACATTCAAACCTTCAGTAATCTTGCACACATTCAGACTGGTATGATAAAACACTGGATATATGCAAAAACTGTCTAAAGTGAACATAATTTTGGTTTGTACAATCCAGTGTTTGTTTAACACTTTTTGGATAATAGAAAGGTATTTGGATTATGTTAAATATGCTTGTTTGGTTTAGATGTTTCTGCTGTATGTGTATCATTTCAATGCATATACCTGAATAAATTTGTACCAGGTTCTACCATATGTAGTAGTTGGTGATTGTAAAAACACTGTAAAAGTACTTATGAAAACAGTACTTTGTGATTGTAAGATTACTGTAAAGGTACTTATGAAAGCAGTATTGACCTGTGTCCACTGCACTGTTTTGTATGTATTGCAATATCTACGACATTAACACTATTATTTGATTTACTAGACAATAAAGTCAATATAATTAATGAATTCACTAAAAATCATTCAAGATTTATATTTGTTCAAGCCAAAATGTTTTTAACATGCA